CCCTAAACCCTGAACCCTGGTTTAGGGCTTTCGGGAATTAGGGGTTCTGGGAAATCAAACTTTAGGGTTTTCGGTTCAGTGTGTGGGCTTAATATTATGGCTTCGGGATGCTTCGGGTGTTGGCTTTACGGTCTGCGGGCTTCCAGTAGCTGATGACAGTGCTATTGGCCGCCCAAAAGTCAGAGCAGAGCTGCGGAAATTGGAACAGGTTTGAGGCTGGAAGGAGACTGGAGGAATTATGCTAGTTACTAGATACCGCGTTGCATGGCATGTGAGTGTGTACAAAAGTATGTATGTATGATTGTATGAAGAAGCCACTAGCCCCTAGACCTTCAAGCCGAGAAAACCCAAGCCCCTAAACTCAGAAATCTAGACACTAACCCCCTAAACCCCAAACCCTAAACCCGAAACCCCCAAGCCATCAAGCCTAAACCCAAAACCCCACATGACAAGGCCACAGTGAGCAATCTGACATACCAGGCGGGCTTTGGAGCGCCAGCGGTTTCAAGGTTCAGGCTTGAGGGTTTTAGGGTCCTAGGGTTTAGGGTCTGGTATAGTTCTTCGTTTACAGGGTGTGGGGTCTATGGATTTCTGTTGTGTCGTTATGAGGTCCCGGGGGCGTGTGAGCGTTGTTGGCCTCGAGGTTCAGATGTGGCGTTTCGGGCTCTGGGTTCAAAGCCCCCCAGAACCGCCTTTCAAAAGCGAGAATCTTCACCCTAAGCCCTAAACACTCCTGCAATTCTGCTGACCTCGAATAGAAACTGACTGCAGAACTCCCATGGACTCCGGAAAACACGCGCATTTTCTGTGTCCGGGCTTGTGCCAGGTTGTGGCTTCGACTGTGGCGTTTGAGGTTTCAGGTTCGGCTTTAGGGAGATATGGGTACAAGTCGGTACTAGGTAGTATTAGGGAGGCCTCTTAAAGGGGACCCTTCTTAACCCCACTTTTGGCTCTCTTAAAAGGGACCTTCGTTGGGAGGGTCTATATCCCCAAGGGTCCCCCTAATCCTGCACAGCGATCGTGATATACAAGGATGTCCAGAAAGCAAAAGTGAAGCCCTAAAGCCCTAATCCCGAAACCCCTAAACCCCAAAAGCCCTAAACCCTAAAAACCCTAAACCCCTAAACCCCTAAAGCCCCAAGTTGAAGAAACCCACTCTAAAGAAAGGGGCCTCAACAATTCGAATAGGATTTTGGGGGGTATATTGTACTATAGTTCTATTACAGGAACCCTCCAAAAGTTATACTATAGTTTTAATATGGAGCCCCCCAAAAAGAATGCAGGTAATTGTTTAGACCTTCATAGGACCTTCCTACTAATACCCCATATGTATTCTCAAGGGTCCCTAGAAAGGCCTAAGGGTCCTTATTAGGGGCCCATACTTCTACTTGGAGGGTCAGGGGACTTAGTAACTGGTTATTTTCTAGACTTATAAGCCTCATAACCCCAATTACGACCCCTTTTAGGGTAAACCCTAAACCCCTAAACCCCTAAACCCTAAACCTACACCCTGAACCCTGAACCCTAAACCCTGAACCCTAAACCCTAAACCCTAAACCCTAAACCCTAAACCCTAAACCCTAAACCCTAAACTAAGTACCTTTTGCCATCAGAGCTCAAGTCCTCCAAGCCGCAGCTGCTGGGCTCTTCGTCGCTGACCTGGGAAAATCCTTGCGGGTTTAGGGTTATTTTGGGGGGTTCCTTTAAAGGGTTCCTCAAGAGGTTCCTTAAAGGGCTACTCTACGAGTTCAGGTTTAGGGGTGGAGGATACAGGTTAGGGTTTAGGGTTTAGGGGCCATTCAAAAAATAGAACAAGTTTTTTTGGGGTGGGGTATATTGTACTGTAAAATTATAATAAGGAGTCCTAAAACAGTATTGGTTATTATTAAAGCCCCTATATTAGGGTTATCTTGCAAGTTGTGTAGATCCTACACTATAGGATTCGGGGTTTCGTTTTAGTAGAACCTTGTAGGAATAAATCCTTGAGCCCTGAATCTTAAAGTTTCGGAAGCCACTATTGCAATGCAACCATGTCGACTCAGACGCCTTGGATTGTAATTGGCTTTCACTTGCTCTCGATGTGGCTGTTTCAGTACAGCAGTTTTCGTCAGGGCAGTTGTATCCCAAACTTGTAACTTCAAACCCTAAACCCTAAACCCTAAACCCTGGGAAGGCGCAGACCTTAGATAGCGAGCCCGAACCCCGCTCTCCCTCGCCATGTCCTGTGTGATTCTCGAAGTGACACTACTGAGTGGCAGAGCCGTGCAAGTCACAGCCACTGCCACTTGGAGGTGGTTAATATAGGCGCATTAATAATTAGAATAGGGTTTTCGGGCCCATTATGCTATAACTATAATAGGGAACCCACCAAAATAATATTGGTAATTATTTAGGCCCCTATTTTTGTCATGTGCGATGTGGTGTTCCTTCTGTTTTGTATCCTCAAGGTAATTACGACAGAGAGCTGTAGGCTTGGGAATGGGGGATTGTTCCTGGGTTCCAGGCGTCTTGGACCATGGAGGAGCTAAAACTTCAGGCGCAGAAAGCCCTGCAAACCGGAAGGGGCATGCTGCTCAATGCATCTGGGGACATCCTACATGGAGCCTTGACCATTGGCCAGGCAAGTTTGAGGACGGGAGATGTTTTGACCTTGCATCTGCGCGAGACAAGCATGGCAGCTACAGCCTCTGCTTTTGCAGCCGTGCTTGGTGTCGCTCGACTGCTCTTGAGAATGTCCTTGTGGCCTAAACCCTACACGCCCAATACTTACCTATACAGCCGGGATTGCAAAGCCCCTTTCCTGATTACTATAGGATTCCAACCGCAATATAGGTTATCCAAGAACTGCGCTACAATCTAGGGTCGAGGTAAGTTTGATATCACATAACACCCTACTAAACCCTAAACCCTAAACCCTAAAAGGACGGGTCTTTGGTAAGCTGGGGGAATCCCAACTCCGGCGGTGACAGCAGCTCTGTCCAACATCGGCTGCTGAATGTGCGGCAGGTCTCAGCCACTCATGGGGCGTGTCTCAGCGGAACACTGTAGACTGGTTCAGCCCTACAGTAAGCCTAAACCCTAGACCCTAAACCCTAAACCCTAGACCTTAAACCCTAAACCCTAGACCCTAAACCCTAAACCCTAAACCCTAAGCCCTGTTTGGGCTCAGGCTCATGAAAATCCGCAACTTTGAACCCGACAAAACCCCAGATCCTACCCCAGGAGCTCCGCTGCCCAACATAGAGGGTTACTATTCCGTACATCCCGTTCAGGGTTTAGGGTGTAGGGTTCAGGGTTTAGGGTTTAGGATACGTATAGGGTTCAGGGTTTAGGGTTCAGGGTTTAGTGTTTAGGGGAATCGGAGCTCTTGTAAAGGAGAGTACAGGAGAGTTGGGTTCACGGTTTAGGATATGAGTTTCAAACCTGCCTAAAGTAAAAGCCAGGAAGTTGGAACCTTTGGATCCTCATGCCCTGGCTAAAGCATAAGGGATCCCAGCACACATCCTCCTAAGCCCATATGGGGGTTTCAGAAAATTAGGGTACCGTATTTTGGGGTCCTTATTATAATAGGGATCCTATTATTTAGGGTACTATATTAGGGTCCCCTATTTTCGGAAACCCCCATATTCCACCTTCTGGAATTCGCTCTAGAATATTCACAGTGCCAACTGTATGGATGTCTGGGCTCTTCGGTCTGAGCCCTACCTTGCAGCAAACCCTACCTAAACCGTAAACCCTAAACCCTAAACCCTAAACCCCAAACCCTAATCCCTAAACCCCGAAGCCCTAAACTCCTGGAACCCTGAACTCCCAAGTCTTGAGCCTCCAACCCCCAAGCCGGTTTAGGGTTTAGGGTTTAGGGTTTAGGATTTAGGGTTTAGGGTTTAGGGTTTAGGGTTTATACACCCTAGATTACACCCCCAAAGCCCCAAGCCCCAACCCTAAACCCAAGCCCTAGACCCTAAACCCGAAAACCCCGAAGCTCTCCACTCATAAGGGTAGTTCTCTAAACGAGAGGCCCTTCTTGGATGCCAAATGTACTACGGCACCCTTAAAAGAGGACCCTAAAAGGGACCCTAATTAAGAGAAGTACCCATAGGGGTAGTTCTTTAGATTAGGGTCCCTTTTTAGGTCCCCAATATAGTACGGCACCCTTATAAAAAGGACCCTAAAAGGGACCCTAATTAAGAGATACTACGGCACCCTTAAAAAAGGACCCTACCTAGTTAAGAGACGTACCCAAAAACTGGCACCCTTGAAAAAGGACCCTAAAAGTGACCCTAATCACAAGAAGTACCCATAAACTGAAGGTTCGCGGCTCTCCTCGGCGATGGATCTGTGGTAACTTGGGGGCGCAGTGAGACTGGTGGCGACAGCAGCTCCGTCCAGGAGCGCACGCTCTGGGGCTTAAGTCTAAGGTTAGAAGTATGGCCCCTAATATGGACCCTTAGGCTTCTAGGGACCCTTAAGGGTACATATAGGGCATATAGTAGGTATATACGGATCCCAGGGTTAAGGGCCCATACTAGAGGCCCATGGTTCCAACCTTAGGTTTAAGCGGTTTTGGGGTTTAGGGTTTAGGGGGTTTAGGGGTTTGGGGCTTAAGGCTCCAGTACCTAAACTCTAAACCTCAGCCGTACCCGGTAGCTCTTTGAGTTTAGTATCTTGGGGGTGTCCGCTTCAAGAGTGTAGGGCTTATGTCGGAGGTCTTAAGGCTGTCCGGTTGGGGGAGGATTAAACAGGAACCCGACACCCTACTTACTTCACCCTAAACCCTAAACCCCCAAACCCTACAAAACGCAGTAGAAGCATCCCCTACAGTTTCTAAAGGCCTTTTCCAGAGTCTACATACCTCAGTCGATGTAGCTTTTCTTTAGAAACGCCTAAACCCTAAACCCTAAACCCTAAACCCTAAACCCTAAACCCTAAAAGCCCAAGACCCCAAGCCCGAAGCCCGAAACCCAACATCTTAAGCGTCACTCCCCCTAAAGCCACCCTAAGCAGCCGTTGAACGCGGCAGCTGAACCAGGATCGGCTCTCCAAGGTTTCGCAGCTGGGTGCTTTTATTCAGGAAGTTCGTTTAAATGACCCTAACAGGGATCTAGAATAATTTTAAATTAGCATAACAAGGAATATACTTACCATCATTCCTCTAGTTAGGGCCCTTAAGGTAATGCAGGATTTAGATCACCAACAGTAGGGATCTATGGTACATAGTATGGTTTCTTTGTTATGGTAGCTAAACCCTAAACCCGAAACCCTAACCCCTAAATAAATCCCCTTAACAAGAACCCAGGCAGATAAAAGCTACCGGCTTTGCTTTCGCAGCCATGCTACACGACGGGTCAGTGCCTTGGGGAGCACGTGAGCCTGAAAAATAGGGGCCCTATTATAGGGTTTAGGGTTTAGGGTTATTATGACCTCCAATATAGTATATGAACCTTATCCTAAACTCTCCAACTTAAACCCCTTTTACGGCCTTTTCGTCCTTAAGGTGGTGACTTGGGGCGATTCCGACTACGGTGGCGACAGCAGCGGCGTGAGGGACGACCTCCATCATGTGCAAGAGATACTCGGCTTAGGATATAGGGTTTAGGTTTAGGGTTTAGGGTGGCTCTCTTCCAGGACCCCCAAGGGCCCTTCAATGCAGCCCCTGTGGTCCTTAATAGTGGGCATTTAGGGTATATTTGAGGGAAGTTGGGGGGGGGGGTCCAGGTTCTGGTTCGCCGTTTTTAACTTTGAGATATGTTTTCTGTTGCCCACCCTAAACCCTAAACCCTCAAATCCTAAACTTTCTGTTGGAGTCCTCAATCAAACCTAGACCTCGGACCCTTAAGACCTCCAAACCTTTGAAGCCCTGTAAGCCCATTATAGGTAGTATTATTAGGGGTACCCCTTAAAGGGTACCCCTTCTGAACCCTACTTGTGGCTCTCTTAAAAGGGACCTTATTGAGAGGGTCTATATTTGCAAGGGTCCCCCTAATCCTAGCTCCCACATTACAAACCTGAGGGTTTGTTTCCCAACGGCTCCAAATAGACTACCATGATGGAACTAGGTCCCAAAAGACCATCCTTTCAATGCTTTTACGGGCCTACTTCGACAATAGTAGTACATTCCCCTAAACCCTAAACCCTAAACCCCTAAACCCTAACCTATTAAAAATGGAGCCTCTAGGTGCCTTAAGTCTCAACCAAGGGTAGAGGCCACAGACCGCGCCTTTGCGGCAGTCCTGATGGACGGATCTGTGAGGACTTGGGGCAGCGGCTACGATGGCGGAGACTGGGCTGGTTGCTAAGGACATTGAGTCAGACCTAGTGGTAATTATTTGGAATTAGTTTTTACACTTTGACTGCTTGTGGTATTTGGAATTAGTTTTTAGACTTTGGCTGCTTTTGGTATTTGGAATTAGTTCTTAGACTTTGGCTGCTTTTGTCCCCTAGGAAACAGCAGTTCAATTTCTTGCAAGGTACCAAGTTCATTCTGGCTTAGGGTTTTGCTAGATTAAGGCTTTGTAAGGATTTCGTTTATAAAGTGCGGGTTTATTCATAAGGACGTACTTTATTGGATACTTTATGATTCCGTGGGTTCTTGGTCAGGAAATTAGTTGAAGGTGCCCTAGCAGTCGGGGTGAGGGTTTAGGGTGCCGCAATCAGGATGGACATTCGTAAATTGCCTGCCCTTTCTATGGTAACTTAAACGCGCTTCTTTACAACCGCTAAAGCATGAACACATCAGTTAACAATCCGTCTAATTCTTCCCTAGGGCGTGCTAGATTTTGCACTCTAGAGCCCTTAAGCGAACCCTAAACCCTGCCTTACCCCCAAACAACTTACCTTCTGAAGGAGTTGTTTAAAGAGTTCATAGGAAGGAACCCTAAGACGGTAGGCTCTTTAGGGCCCATGTAAACCCTAAACTGACAAGAGCCGAGGAGACTGCAAAGCAGTGCAGGGAAAGCTTCGAGAGGTTCGGGAGATCCGTGCGGCCCGGGGTGGCGCTTTTGCAGCCGTCCTTGGAGATGGCTCGGTGGTTGCTGGGCTTGTTATTAGGAACCCAAAAAGGACATAAGCAAAAGCATTTTATATGGATATCCCTACCTTATTGGGTTTCATTATAAGGGGGTTTATATGGGATATCCCTATCCTAATTTCTGCTTATGTGCTTTTTGGGGGCCCTATGTTAATTCAGGAAACTTAGGTTTGATAGAGATTAGGGCTTAGGGTGCTTCAGCAGGATTCAATGAGGTTCTTGCTCAGGAATCTGCAAGGGTTGTAAGACACTTAGCTCAAGTGCTGCTGTCAAAGGTCAAGCTTAGCATTTTCTATTTGCCTATGGTCAAACGTTATCTTGAACAAAGTTCCTGGGTAGTTCTCTACATTCGGGTCCCGTCTAGGGTTCTTTTATAAGGATGCCGTACTACAGTGGGGACCTAAAAACGGACCCTAATTTAGAGAACTACCCCTAAACCCTAAACCCTGAACTCTAAACCCTGAACCCCAAGCCCTAAACCCTAAACCCTAAACCCCAGACCCTGAACCCTAAGCCCTAAACCCTAAACTCTAAACCCTAAACCCTAAGCCCTAAACCCTAAACCCTAAACCCTAAAC